GGAGGTGAAAGGGGGAGTGCTCAGAATCGGCCGCTTACTTGAGGTGGACAACCAGACCGACCATCCATCCAGCGACAAGCAAAAGAACAGGCCGATCCTGTTCGTCAGTGGCGACGTTGCTCGCAATGATGCGGTAGCTATCACGGTCAATCTTGGGGAAGACGACAAGACCACGATGCAGAATCTGCGTATCGCGTCTAGCAGCCTCTCGTCCCGGAGCTGGAAGCGAGCTACTGGAATGCAATTTTATAGAGTAATCCCCGATTCTTGTTTTACACGAGTTTTCTGGACATCCTGCTTACACCACTTAGTTCCGCAGCTTCCACTTCCAACTGACGAGGAAGGACCTGCGGCGAGTTCTGGACTGCACTGCGGGGTACGTGTCGCCATGTTGCTCCGTACCACAGGCGTGTGCAGGTGGTCTTATTGGTACCTCGATCTTTCTAGAGCTGGGTGCAGCCTCAGAAAGTGGCCGAATTCACGCATTGTACAACTTAAGACAGCTGGTGGCAGTGCTGTTTGGCACGCGCGACTAGCCCACTTTCATCCCGTTCGAGTGAGTTCACACTGGCGCTCACGGTTACGTTGAGGTGAGTGGAGTGGAAAAATACAACAGATTCTTCGGCTTTGTCCGAACCCTTCACTAGCTAACTTACTGGAAGAAATTTATGTCATCATTTGGGTATCAGGAGATATAAGTGGCGTGACCTTAACAAATCCTTCTGCTCGTCAGTATGACAGTGATTAACTGTTGATCTGTCCAGGAGAAGGTCGAATGACTGAACTTTCAGAAGGAGCCTAGGCCTACCACGTAGAAATGGTTGTTGCTAACCCATAACGACCCGAGCCAGCCGCCCTGATTAGGTTGAATGTGTCGGGTCGATCTGTAAAGTCTTTTGCGTGTGACTAACTGCATAACATACTTTCTTTGATCCACTCTCGCAGGCATTGAATTCTGGGGTTCAATCAGGCTGGGGATGGCAAAGGCTCAGGTTTTGGATATACACCTATGATGGCACTGTGGTCTCTAACCTTGTCAGTCTGGGGTCACTGAGCGGCTTAAGGAACGATGGTGAGCTCTAGTTGACGCCAGGCTCTCAGCTAGACACCACATGACCTCTAAAGCGATGCTCATGATCCCCGCGGTCAACTTCATGAGCAGTCGCCTCTCGGGGTGTCCTGGGCCGCAACAGACGGCACGGTACGATCGCGCATGTAAGGTCAGGTCTTCGTCAACCTTTGGCGATGCCGCTACGTCTGGCGCTGAATCCCACAATTCAGCTTCCTTAGCATAATGTCATGAGACCTCCACGCAACTCCAGGGGTCGTCGGCATAGTGATGTTATCAGACGAACAAGGTCTAGAATGAAAGAAATATCTTAGTGAAAAATCAGGCTGCAGCCGAAACCTTGATTTTGACGCTATCACAATGACCGAATGGGAAGTATCGATGTGACAGCATTATGAGCAGACGGTCTCGCTACATATATGGTAGCTTTGGGTGTCAATTAGTTAACAGTCTTAAAAATTGCTGCGCGAGAGTCTCGTCGTCTGGATTAGTTGCGAGTCTGATATCAGTACACAATCCTGGGAGACGCTCTTCCACCCGATACGATGGCCACCATCTCAACTGGCGGAGGCGTTTCGACAACAATACCACGACCTCCATGGGTTGTAGGTGTGACGATTGGCATCGTGATGGTTCTGATCCTTATATGTATCTCAATACGGTGCGACTCTCTCCATCAATGCTAAGAGCTGCTCCTTGGCGTTGTGATTCACTTACAGAATGGAGATATTGCTCATGGTGTTCGGGGCCTGAACGACGGGACAATGGCAACCCAGAGGCCATACCTCACCGGAACCAATCCGAGGGCCTTGATTACGTCGCTGTCCTCCAGCTGTTCACAGAGTGTGGGAAAGATACACGAGCTGCGGAATTGTTTCAACAATCTGCAAGCTTCACAGTATGGTACGCTTGTACCGGGCTCTTTTATTTGCTCAAACTTGTCGTTAACCAAGCGACTTTAGCGGAATGTGTAAACCGATTTTCAAAGACAAGGAGATGGTCCCCTGACTAGCGACCGAATTTTTCGCTCTGGATGCATTATGCGCTGGTTCTTGGGGCAGCAAAATACCTGCCCCTTGTGTAAAGTCTACATTATGAACGGAATCGGGAGCATAGGATTGCAAGGCCATCATACCGAAAATGCTTTCTTGGTCGATATTCGATAAGCCAGTTTGACTGTCCAGTCTGTGATTATATATGACATGATAATTACGTCACGGTATTTACTGCCATGAAGTGTAACATCACGACATGCCTCCGTGACGCCATCGACAGAACGATGTCGTGACAAAGTAAGTATAGCACAGTAACAGTGAGGGCCGTGCTGCTAACGTTCCCGAGAAATTGTTGTAATGGGTGAATGAACTCACATAGTCCAGTCAAAGATCCCCCATCCGCGTAACAGCTCGTGGAACACGTATCCTGCGGAATCTTCTTTATCTTCTCCAACGCAGTACAGGGTTCCACGCCGAACAAATACAATCTTGTGGCCATGCGTGATGACTGAGCGAGGCAAATCAAGACGAAATAATCTTTGCCGTGGCCCAGAAATGCCAAGCTCAAGAGTTGGGCTACCGCGAGGTTCGAAAGGGTGTCCAATGACTTCACACATGTCAAGAGCCTCTCAGCCCTGTCGCCAAATGGCTGGGTGAAGTCATAGACGCTTTCATCAGAGTACATTTGCTAGGCAAGATTAGGGCCAAGGGGAGCTACATTACGGACTAGGACAGGCTTGATTGGGATAGGGGCAAGAAGATAGTAACTTACAGATCTCCAGTACAAGATAGCATGAACCAGGAAACGGAAACAAAACCAAGATCGATGTCGTACTAGATCCGACACAAACAGATCTAGGTCGAAGGTGCACAGGAGGGTATGGTCCGTGCTCAGGTACTGGGACATGATGCGTGCAGCAAGTTGATTTCGGTCCAAAAGGAAATATCCAAATCACGTAACCTTTCATCGAGTAGGTCAGGGCTGGGGTGTGGTTGCACTCTCCTGGGGATCCTGCGATCTTCTTTTGATAAAGCCCCATCTCAGAACAACCGCTAAGTACATCAAGTGCATGTTGCTTCAAAAGGGTTATTGAGTTGGTCGTCCTGACGGCCAATGTATGAGTCGAAGAGGCGGTGTTACGTCGCTAGCAGCATATTCACCGACCCTTCGAACTGCTGAATATGGGCGTGCTATGAATGCAACCGGGACGACATACATGATAAGCGGGTGGGCCAGACCACGCGACCAGCTTCCTCTTCACGCGTTTCTCTCCAACCAAACAAATGGAGTATCCTAGCACAGAATGTCAATTATTCCTGCCGTTCAGGCTATGAAAAAAGACTTGAGTTTTACTGTTGAGGTTGCAGCTTATATCTACTCAGTCAGTCGCACGACGGCACAGCGCCGCCTTCAAGGTGTCGCCTCGACACGCGACAGCCCGCCAAAATCAAATAAACTGACGGAGCTGGAGGAAAAGACAATTATTAAATATGATCTTGACCTGGATTCCCGAGAAGTTTCTTCCCGGTTTCGTGAGGTGGAAGATATGGCTAATCGACTGCTCGCGGACCGTCAGGAGACCGACGTCGGGAAGTGTTGGGCTTTTAACTTCGTCAAGCGACAACCACAGCTCAAGACACGTAATTTTCAGAAAGAAACTACAAGAGGGCCCAATGCAAGGATCCGGATATCATTCGTGGCTGGTTGGCGCTCGTGCGGAACTCAGTCGTCAAGTACGGCATCGCAGAATCGGATATCTACAACTTCGACAAGACTGGCTTCATGGTAAGCTTTATCTCGACAGGTATGATCGTCACAAATGCAGAGAGGCATTATAACGCGAAATTAGCCAGCCAGGCAATCGGGAATGGATTACGGTTATCCAGGGGGTTAATTCCCAAGGCTGGGCGGTCCCGCCATTCCTCATCGTTTCGGGCAAATATCATCTCTCGACCTGGTACAATGACAGCCCTCTACCACAAGAGTGGGTGATCGCCACGACTGATAACGGTTGGATCACAAATGAGAGAGACTTGGAATAGATTCAGCATTTCGACAAACACACGAAACCTCGTACAACTGGCGCATATCGCCTTCTCATCCTGGACGGCCATCAAAGTCACCACTTGACGGACTTCGAACTGTACTGCAAGGATAACAACATCATCACGCTCTGTATGCCTCCTCACTCGTCTCACATACTCCAACCTCTGGATGTTGGCTGTTTTGGCCCGCTCAAGCAAGCGTATGGCCTGCAAATCGAGAAGAAGATGAGGGCCGGTACAAGCCATATCACCAAGGAGCGCGTTTTTTTGGCGGCATTCCAAGCGGCAATGACGGAAAAGGACATCCAGGGAGGTTTTCGAGGCACAGGCCTTGTTCCTTTTTGACCCCGACTCTATGATTTCGCGGTTGGATATGAAACCACGGACGTCGACACCCTCGGAGAGGGGTTGGGGGACACCGTAACCTTGGGTCTCTAAGACACCGAACAACCCGACCGAAGCGAGTTCTAAGTCGGAATTCATCAAGGGCCGTATTTCCCGTCATCAAAACAGCTCGCCGACATCTATTTATGAGGCTGTCGACCGGCCTTCGAAGGGGGTGCGGGGAATCATGCACCAGAACGTCCTCATCAAGTCCGAGAATCGCATCGTTCGAGAGGAGATGGAGGTACTTAGCCGGCGTCGCAGGGCTAAAAAGACACGTCTTCGAAAAGGGGGAAGCATGGCTCTAGGCGAGGGACAGGATATCCAGGCTCAGAACAAGGTGGAAGTGCAGGTGAAGCAGGAGACGCACAGAGTAGTGGTCGCAAGCCGAGGACGGAAACGAAGCAACGGTGCTGTGGGACTTGCGGAAAGCCATGACACAACGCGAGAACTTGTCAGATAATAGTGGAAATGTCTTAGGAAGACGATTCCGACAGGTTTCAATTGATTCGAGGCATTGTGGTTAATTTCTTAGGGGAGATGGTTGCGTGGTCGTGGCTGGGTGACCAGCTCGCTTATCATGTACGTTATCGTCATTCCAACAATAGATCTTGGCATACTTGAAATTTGTTATTGCAATTAGTTTGGGATGGCTTACAAATGAGGATGGGTCATGTTCGTCTCAGGCTGCTGCTGCTCTCTTCCCTTGCAATACAGAAGTTACACAAGGGGAGTTTTTCAACAGAATAACTTTCGGTAATCAGTGCAGCACCAAGCTGAATCTCTCCAAGCCCCACAAGAGAGGGAAGTGCGTAAATTGATGCGCGCGGTGGCCCTGATTGCTTCTGCTTTTTTTGCTCGAAGGTAGTTATCAGCTAGGGTTTCCGAGTCGAGGGTGCTGATGGACTCCTCCACGCGCGGTAAGTCTTGATGATCTGTATCCTGAATGTGTTTGGATATCTGCATCCACAAGCTATTCAGGTGGCCTCTGAGACTAAGCACGGAGCAGTCCGATGATTCGATGTTGTGAAGCTTATTTATGATCTTGAAGTTTTGTGCTAGTTAGCCTCATGCACCGTGCTGGGCAACCGGATTAATGGCGAAGGAAATGGGCAACTCCGTACATGTTCATGCGTATGACGCAAGTTCTCACTTCGCTTACTCCCGTCCTGCAGCCTTTCCGAGATCAGAGGTAATAGAATCTGACTTTCAGCACTGATGTGCTGCTGCAGTTCTTCGACTACCTGGGCTTTCAACAACCCGTCATTTTGGGACGAGGTGAGTATGCGCTGTCGCAATTGTATGAGGCGACGGTGATCGTCTTTGACGACTTGAATCAGGCGGGCCATTATCCAATGATGATGGCAAATGGTCTAGGTTGACAGAAGCAGTCTTGTAAATGGAAGCGAGCTGATGTTATTTAGCCATCGCACGTCTTGTTATGGCCAGTCGGTTCCACCGCTACTGTCATCATATCACTTTCACACCATAATCAAACGACCATCACATCATCCTGATAATACTATAGTCACATCATATTATTTTTGACATTTCTGATCAGATCATGATGATAATAACATCGTCACAAAACTAGCATACGCCGACTGAAGTGACGCAACCTGGCGTTTCAAGGTATGTGATAGAACTATCACAATGCACTCACCTCAAAGTAAAACAAACGATGTAACGTTGCGGGAAATTAGGAAACTCTAGATATGTTATTGTATAAAGGTTAGTGTGGTTTAATAATAACAACGTATCACGCCGACCGAACGCCGCCACTGTGGTAACATAACAACTTATTGTCCGAGTATTGAAGCCACTTCACCATCCGGCCTGACGAATGTTACTTGATGTCAGGACTGTCGGCACTCAAGCAGAGCGAATGTCTTTTCTATGTTTACCGGTAGACTACTATAACTAGCGGAGTAGGCTGATCACCCAGATTTGCTAGTGAGTATGCTGCAGAATCTCGGCGACTGCCATACCTCTCAGATAAAAGACGGCTTTTAGGAAGAATGCGCTCCTACGGCATGCCGCTTTTAGCCCAGAGCCATGACTGTGAGCAATTTGCTACAAAATGGCCAAACAAGAGGGGCGTACCTCGATCATGTGTAAGAATTCGTCGAGAGATGACTTGTTGTTGGAGAAAATCAGGCGCCAACCTCGGTAGAGACCTGACCCAAGACAACATCAGGGATATCCTTAAGAACTGAGGGCTAGGCTATTGAGGACGGCGTTGACCTCGTGGTTATCGTTGCCGCCCTTCCCTTTGGCATAGTTGACGACCTCGTCGACCAAGGAGGTGTACTCTGGCTTCTTGGAGGCGGCGACGCTCTGGGGCTTGTACTACCTAATAGCTTTGTGAGGGTTAGCTCTCTGGATGTTGTTGCCTCCCCATCTGTTCCGGAGCGAGGCTGATGTATGGGTTGACATCGGAGACGAATAGGTAAAGTCACCTGATGGGATTGTCAGCAGAAAGACGATGAGAGATCACAGGAAACGCCAGCATACCGGAGACAAAGATAGCTCGTCGGTATCCAGGACGGCCACCTAGACGGATAGAAAATCGCTGTCAGCATAACGTCATTCATCATTGTAACAAGGCAAGAGAAACCTGAGTTATAGCTATCAGGGGCGTAAACCACCATCGCAACAGCAAAGGAATGAGCCTTCAAGGCACTGCACCTCGAACACGGGCAGCGTCAAGCACGAACGCCAGCACCAGCACCTGCACCTGCACCAGTAACAGGTGTTTGGGGCGCCGATAGTGGGATGACAGCCAAAACTTACCGGGCAAGACGCCTTCAATGGATCAAGTGAAGAAAGCATGATGGTGTGTGGGTTCGGTGTCGGAATCAAAGACGTTTTTTTAAATGCAGCACATAGCTGGAAACGATTGACAGTAATGGGTAGTCATAGAGATAAGGGGGTATTATGGGGAAGCAAGAGTCCACCAAGATGCGTGACACTTGAATCGATAGCACTTTGGGTCGATAGACAAATATGGTGTTTTCGTTGGGAGGCTCGGTGGCGCTGGTGCCATCAATTGGGACGTCATGGTTTAGGAGACAAAAGCAGAAAGACGGCGAATCACTCTGCATTCCCACCCGATGCTATGTAGCACACACCGCCAAGTCACCAGACGGGTATGGCCATCACCATCCCGTCACGTGCCATCACGGAACTATCACCATACCACCCACCATCATACCACCATCATACCACCATCACACCACCATCATACCACCATCACACCACCATCATATCACCATCACACCACTTTCACAGCAGCTGATAAACGCCATATCAATATGATGTCATCATCAGGTCGATATAATCACGACACCAAATTTGGTTAAGTTGTAACATCATGATTACACTTTCTCGGGATCGTCCCACAACACAACCCTAACTATTACAGTGCATACTTACTTGTCTTGCGAGATAAGGTATAGTGGTCGCTAACCTTGGCCAACTCGTCGACAATCACCAGACAACAAGGCCCAGCACATATCGCCTGTGGCTACCTAACAAGTCGTCTCACCAGGGTGGGGATCAGCTTTTTTCCCTGGCGTGATATTGCTCGCCCTCGGGTATGATAGTACTCGGCGCAGGCTTGGCCACACCTTTGAGGCACGGACACGGATCATACATAACAACCAGTAGGTTGAGGCCCATGTGTCTCAATATTTGCCAGGAAGGGTGACTGCCATAATACTACATGGGTTCTGTATCTTCGGCAAAGCAACTGTTTGAACACATCGGTATGAGACAACCTCGCAACATCGTCATTGTCGGCGGCGTCGCGGGGGGCATGTCATGTGCTACGAGGCTCCGTCGGCTGGATGAAGATGCCGTAGTGACCGTCATCGAAAAGGGGCCATATATAAGCTACGCCAACTGTGGCATCCCGTACGCTCTGGGTGGTGTTATCAAGACTCAGGCGATGCTGCACGCTATGACCCTGGCCAAGGTGAAGAGCTTGTTCAACATCAATGTGCGGAGCGAAACTTTGATACCCAGATAAAGGAGGAAACGCAGCAGAACCCGGGTCCTGCGTCGCGGTCCCAGCCGAAGAAACGGTGCTGTGGCGTCTGTGGGAAGACCGGTCATAACGCGAGAACTTGTCAGGTTATTCTCTCATCGTCTCCTCCAGACCATGAGGGGTAATTTCAATTGATTGTCTGCGGTTTGGTTGAGTTCTTGGTTGGAATGTGCTTGAGGTCGGGGTGAGGTGGCCCACTCGCTTGGGTGGCCCACTCGCTTGTGGAATACGTTACCCTCGGAAAAGAGATGGATCAAAATGATGGCTTGGTAAGCAGACGATATTCGATGTAGTCTTCACCGTCGATACTGATGAGGCAACCCGCAGAGACGAGCTTGCCTGCGAACTTACCCAAAAGTTTGCGCTCGTATCTGATGCCATTGTGGTACTTGACTCCGTTTCTGTCGGCGAGTGCGTGAGCCGGAGGCGGCGCCGAGCCCGGGGCGCTGGCTGGAGGCGGCGGCAGCAGCTGTCCTTTATTGCGCTACTCTTCCTGCATTTGCCAGACCCTTTCCAGACATTGCAAGTCATCGTGGCTGTAGAAAGAATGCCCGAGACTAGCACGACCGCAGCTGTTGTTAACCATCTGGGGCAGCTGACTGCCATGCTGCATCGGCTTGCCGAGGTTGGCGTTGTTGGTATTGGCGACCTCGCGTTCAAGAGCAAACTGAGGACGGCGGGTCTCGGCCTGCTTAAGGCGTTCAGTTTCTCGAGGGTCTTGTGTGTTAATCTCCTTGCGCGCAGCAATAGGTGCCTTCGACGACTGGCGGCTTTCGACATTCGGTAGCGAATGGCGGCCGTTGGGTGCATCCGGACGACGGCGGTTGATGCTAAGCTCCTGACCATTGATCACAGTCTTCATCTCCTGCTTGGAATCCACATAGGCGTCGTTAAAGTCAGAGTCATCGGGACCCGCCTTGACTTCATCTAGCCGACCATGGGTACCGTTAGCCCCGTTAAGCGTGATTTCAGGCGGGGACACCATCTTGACGCCGTGCATGACGCGCTGTTGCGCAATGATGACGGCATGCGTTTCGTTCTGAACCTTTTGCGTCTCCGTTTCGCCGCGGTCAACCGGGTACTGTCGTGCTCTAACGTATTCCTTGACCTCGTTCTGGTTGAGATCCTTCAGATGTGGCTCTGGCTCCATCTCGTGCCACCGAATCCAGAGAGCGCCTGCACCGACGGGAAAGTTTCCGCTTACGTAGCGACCATCGCGTGTCTCGCGAACAACTTTGACTCTAAACATATCGTTTATGCCAAGAACGCCGACAACGGCGTGGCGATCGCGCTCGTTGGGAGCATTGCTGGCTTTCCAGTACCCGACAACAATTTTTGTAGGCCGAGTGCCCCACTGCGCCTCAAATACAGGCACAGGGGAGAATTTGTCGTTCGACTCAGTGTAGCCCGTAAGGCTGCGTCGGAGGAGGCTGCGTCGGAGACCTCCCGTGGAATGCATTGGAGGCAGCTCCTGGGCTGGAGGACAACCCGCAGGCGACTGCTGTTCAATGGGCAATTTCGTAGCCATGATGGGTCCTCCACTGTTGATGGTGCTAACGCCACGTTGGTGGCTGGGGCCTAGCTTGCGACGCTTTGCAATCTCAGGTCGACTGCAAATCACGGCGTTTCAGGGATCGTAAGCCCATAAGCCACAGCCGGCATATGAGCGGTCTCTGGGGCCGGGTTGCTTTCTATGCGGCGTCGTGCCTCGGCAACGGCCAGCATCTCGTTTTGCCGTTTGATTTCCGGGGATTCTCCCTCAATGCCGACCCTCTGCTTCACAAACTCCTTGATGTGGTGATGGTTCAGACCGACAAGCTGGGGCTCAAAAACCACACGTTCAAAGGTCACCCAGCTGCCGCCAGGCCCTGGGGGCACGTGGTACTTCTTGGCGTTGACAGGTAGGCGCATGCGGTTGACGTCGGCAATTCTCATTCGTAGTCGTCCGCGCACATCGATGAAGCCAATCACTGCGTGCTTTCCGGCCTGATCAGGATGCTGAGAGTCGCGCCAGTATCCTAGGACAACCGTCGTAGAATCAGCTCCCACAAGGCGGCGGACGGGATTAGGACGAGTGATGGGGGTGTCGAGGGGTACGCTGCCTTCTTCCTCATTGTCCAGAGGAACGTTCGGCGTGGTGAGCTTCCTCTTGTGCTCGGGATCAGGGCATGTCTGAGGGTAATACGGCAAATCCCTCTCGGCATTGCCAATGGTCTCACCCTCTTGATCGGAAACAACGCGAAATGGCGAGGACTTATCAGAATCATTGCGGTTGAATCTCACGACAATCTCATAGCCCGAGGCCTGGTCGTCGTGCCCTGGACTCGGGATGTGGTCAGGCGGTGGAGCGAGGACATCGCCACCTTCCAGTTGAGTGCTGTTGACAGGGGCCCTGGAAGCGGACCCTATAAGCAAGGACTTCAGAGCGGCCTGGGGAAGACTTGATTTGGCTGACGCGGCGGGCCTGGAATCGTTGAGAACGTGGTTCTCTGATGAAGGGGCAGAAGCCTCGTTCTTAATCTCGGAACGAGGCTTCCAAGGAGCCAAAGGCGACTGAAAGCGGGCAGAGTATGGGGAGTGTAAGCGACCCAATGAAGGAAGAAGATCCGAGTGATGGCTTGGAGAGCATGGAAGGAGGGAGAAAGGTGGTAATGGAGGGGAGCGAGTGGCTAGGAATAGTCGTACAGATTGTGGATACTCTCTGGGGTTATATGAAGGAGGGCAGCGCCCACCTTTTTCGAGGCAAGCAGAGGGTCTGTTCTTGTCGTGTCTGTCTTCTTCAGTTTTGTTCCTTTGTCTGGAACGGGAGTTTATCTTGTTTGATCAGGATTGAGAGACTGGGAAGGATATACGTGAGTGATGGACGGTGTAGACGTCTTTGCTTTGGAAAGGTACTAACAGAGGAGTAGGAACGTTTTGTACAACCAGCGAACGGGAGTGGGCTCTTCTTGATTTGAATGTGAAGGATGGCCTTGTCACAGGGAGGCTTCTCTTCTTCAGAGTCTAGTGAGGGTTCACGTGGCCGGAGGGATTATTTTCGTCGGCAAGTCTTGCAGCAGGCAGCGGATAACGAGAAGGAGGAGAAGCGACTAGAGGCCGAGCGTCTAGCGTGGGGAAGACAACGTGAGGAAGCTTTGCGTAGAGAGCCGTTCAGATGTGATGGGAGATGTGGTCTCGTCTGTGAAGACTGTGTTTTAACACCGATGGAAGTTATGATACCAGGCAGTCTGATCATTAATAAGGTGGAGAAGTCGGGCGTTCTTGTTCGACCGTCGTTGAGACGTGAGTCTTACTTTTATGAGAAGGATGGATATTGTGAGTACTGTGGACTGGAAAGTACGGAGTGTGCCTGTCATGACGGAGGAGGGACATTTCTTTCGGAGGTGAGTAAAGAAGAGACTGAGGTCGACTGTAAGAAGGTGGAGAGAGATCCTCGAGGTAAGACCAGGAGGCGCTTTGTATGTGGATCGCCAGCCTGTGGAAGGTGTCTTGTGAAGAAGAAGTTGAATGAAAAGGATGAAATGGGAGAGTGATCGACCAATCTGCTTTAGTTGACGGAATATGGAATAACTTCACTTGGAGTGATAGCAATGAAATGATATTAGATACTCTTCTTCTCCTTAATCATTCAGATTCTGATAGTGGGTATGGGGCGCAGCCCCGTACGAGTGAGCAAAGCGATCGAGTCAGCTTATGTAAAGTAAGCATTGACAATTGGAATGAAACACCATGAGGTGGTAGATAGAACATGTGAATGTCATTTGGTGATAACCTCACTTTTGGAAAGTTTATTGTAAAGTGATGCAAAGGAGCGTAGCGACTTGGAATCAATTGTTCTTTAGAAGTACGAAAGGGAGCAACGCGACCGATACTCTCAATGAAATAAGCCAGTTGAGATACTGGCCATGGCTGAACGGAGTGAAGAAAGGAACGGAGTGACGTGAATGAGCGGAGCGAAATGAAAGGGCAACCTGACTGGAAGGAGGGAAAGGAACGGAGTGAGTAAGCGGAGCGACCTTACCGAAGCGGAGCGAAAGGTGAAGGAAGGGCCCAGGGCACACCGAGGAGGTACGACGAGAGTGATGACCCAAGGGGAACCGAAGGTGACCCAAGCCATCTTAACTATGGCCAGGAAGGACATATTTTGGTGGTCCAAAATCCCTATAATTTGTTATAAGATGGCCCATGGCCCATGACCCGACCCAGCAGATTAGTAAGGAGGGGAAAGGAAGACATGAGTGGAAAGGAGCCTAAGGCGACTGGGAACGGCCTAGAGTATTGGGGGGAAGCGATAGCGACCCCATAGAAGAGACCGAATGATGGACCTGGGAAAGGTGGTGTGGAGACAATTGGAAAGGATTGGTTCATAATGGTCGTACAGTTTGTGGATACAATGCATGGAAGGTATATGAAGGGGGGTGGTGCCCACTCTCTTTCGAAGGGAAGGGAACCAAGTTGTGTTCTTCTTCACTTTCTCTTCTTGTCTTTGCTGTATTCAGCCTTGTGCATGAGTGCAAGTTAGGATTCCAGGGAGGAAGCAGTTAAGGCGACCTTGTTGAACAGTGGTGCTGAAGAGGAGGGCTCTTTTTTTCGTGGTAAGCGCGATGTGGCAGGAGTTGCGTCTTGCACAGCTGGAGGCGGATTGTTGCTGGTGTGGAAACCCCGAGTTTGTTGAGGGTGCGGAAGCTGTGGAGTCCTCTTGTACGGACTATTTTGGGAAAGACGTGAGTAGACCAGCCTGGTGGTGTTTGTTTTATTTCTTTGGATTGGATTTGAAGGAAGAAATGCATGTCTCATTGAATGTAAGTTCTGTGTTGCCGGCAGCAGCATGGTATCGTGGTTTTGTTGAGCATCACGTCGGGGATTATTCTGGAGGATACCAGGCGGTTCATGCGTGTGTCACGGTCCTTGTTGCTTTCCATCGACCTCAGAAGGTGGAAGCAATCTTAACTGGCATGCGTCAGTTGTTAGGATGGTCGGGAGACGAGAGGGTTTGTCTACGGGTACCACCAGCCGGGACGGAATGTGAACGGGAACGACACGAGGCGAAGACCAATGGCGATTGGGTGCACCAGAGGGTAAAGTTTATGGAGATGGGTGATCAATTGGTATCCTTAGAAGGAAACAAAAGAAGAACGTTTGGGTACCGTGGTATCTTGGAGGTATTAAAGCGTCAGTTTGATGTGGATTGGTCACATCTGGATGCAGAGATGGAGATCAGCAGAGTTGTTTCCGACGAGGAGGACGGGTTGACTGGCGGTTTTGAACGAGCCAGTGTGAGTGAAGACCTGTTTTGTTCTACTGTGTATGCAGCAGGGCTCGATGAGTGAAAAGCACGACAGGGGATAACCTCACTTTGAAGTGATACCAACAGATTGATATGGAATACTCTTCTTCTTCCTAATCATTCAGATTCTGGTAAATGGGTATGGGGCGAAGCCCCGTACGACTGAGCACAGCGAGGGAGTCAGCTGTTGTAAAGTAATGATACAGATGAATTGAAACATTGTGAGATGTTAACTTTGTATGTGAATGCATGTTGTGAATACCTTCACTTTTTGAAAAGGTGGAGAGGGAGCGTAGCGACCGGTAATACCAATGAAATACAACCAGTGCGGACTACTGGCCATGCCGAACGGAGTGAGGGAATGAACGGAGTGAAGGGAGAGAGCGGAGCGAATGACTGGGCATCCGAATGGAATGAGGCAAAGGAACGGAGTGAGTAAGCGAGAAGCGACCTTGACCGAAGCGTAGCGTAGGTGAAGGGGGTAGACCGAGGGAAGGATGACCCAAAGGTCCATGGACCACCGTAGCGTAGTGAAGGTTGGTATGACCCGGCCATCTTAACTATGGGAAGGATGACCATTTTTTGGTGAGCAAAAATCCCTATAATTTGTTATAAGATGGCCCATGGCCCATGACCCGACCCAGCAGAAAATATTAGGAGGGGCAAGGATGACATA